GTACTTTATTTCTTGTTTTTCATACTTATTCTTTATTTATTATTATAAAAATAACCAAAATCTAAAATTATGGATATTTTAATGTTATTTAAGACTAGATTAGGTAAAATAAGTAATAATAATAATAATATACTTAAAATGGTTCATGAGGCACGCACGTGAGCAGCTCATGGGTAATGTAATTTAATCGATAGCGTAATGTGAGCTGCACATTCCCCGAGTGATTTACAACTTATAATGGCGCAAATAGTAGTTAGACATGGTTCAAAATGGCAATGAAACAATAAAATTTAATTATAAATAGATGTGTACTGTTACAAAGTTAGAGCTACTTAGGATAAACAAATGTAGTTTTATGTTACCATTTGAAGTCTTCTAGAAAGACAAAAAAGGGTAATTTAGGTATATTTTGATTTTTTAAATATATAATAAACACAGTAAAATCTACAATACATAGCTTGAAAAAAAAAGATCTATCTGATCCCAATGTTTTTTCTTACCAAACAGATTAACATTTAAAATACAATTACACAAGCTGACTACAAGATCACTCAAAATGTAAACTACAAATATATTTATTAATATGCATTCAAAATGTAATTCAAGTTAGACAAAGTTGGTGAGAGATATAGTCAAATAGATATAGACTGTGTGTTTGTAAGTTTGGCCATAAAGAGCATATAGTAGCACTATTTTTTAAGTGAAATTATCAGACTGTATTGTAACAACAGAGTAGAGAAGAATAATTTGTCTTGTCATTGTGTTCTAAAGTAATCAAACAAACCTGTGTGGATGATTGACAAAAAAAAAGAGACAATTACCTAAAGCTCTGGATACAACTGTGATAACCAATGGTGTAACATAAGTGAAATTATCATGGATTGTATTGCAATAACAGAGTAGAGAACAATAATTTGTCTATAATTGTGTTCTAGAGTAACTAAACCAATCTGTGTGGACTTTGAAGAAAATAGATGATTATATAAAGCTCTGAATACAACTGTGGTAATTAACTGTGTAACAAACATTTGTATATACATTTGACTTGTTTTTAATTTATTATTTTAAAACAAATGGACTGTGTGCTGTTTGTTTATTGTTGAAATTTATCACCAACAAATCACAGACACCTACTGTAAGGAATCCAGCCCACACATACATAAAAACCAGACAATGTAACACTATTTTTTGTTAGATTCTTTTCTACATTTTAATCATATAATATACCTGCTAAGTCTTTGTGTAATAAATATACTTTTTTCATCCCAAAAAATATTTTTTTATTTCATTTTCCAAATATCCATGTTATACTATCAGTTAGACTCACTTTATTCTTCATCATCTTTCCTATGTTATCCTTTACAACATTATCTGCTGCTGTTAGTTTCTGAGTGACTTCTTGTTGAATCTGATCCTTAACATTGTCAAAAAACTTTGTCAGATCTGTAAGAAAAAAAAATTATTAACATTACTTTGTAATGTTACTAAGCTAGAAAAAAATTTTAACATAATAGATGTACAATATCAATATTTAAAGTTATTTAAATTACTAATGCTATTCCAGATTCTGGGTAACATTCTAGCCCTGAATAAGACCTGTATTAAAGATATTCTTTAAGCTACAAAAGTAACATATATACATGCAAACAGCTACTCAAGATTTTGTGTGAACTTGATATGAAACCTTAAAACTTCACCACTAAAAACTACACATTATTTTCACCACTTTAGAACTTTTTGCATAATGTTAAAACTAAAAACAAACTATAACTAAGTACTAATCTTAGTTTTACTTCTTGCTGCAACTTGTGCCACAAATTATATCAATTTTCAATTGGCACTTTTATTGGTAGTTCATCTTAACTGATATACAAAATAAGCCATCATTTTGAACTTGATAAAAATATTAAAAAAATCAAGTGAATGGAATCAGGATCCTCAGCTATGGGAAATACATGATTTTATATATTCTTCTACTGCATACAAATTACACTGAAATCTCATATCTCAAAAAGTTGGATTACTTATCTCACACAATTTAACATGAATTGAAAAGTAATTCTTGTAATATTATTTTTTGCAGTACATATATATTAAATTATGCTTATGTGAACTATTTTTGTAATATTGTATAGTAAATTATCAAAGCTTGATGACGTTTAATGCAATCTCTTTATGACATCATTTCACATACTTTTCTTCTGGTGATGTAAACATATGAAGGGTATCTTTATATTTAAATAGCTTACATATTTTGTCAATTAATGATGCTTGGAAAATGGTAACAGGTTAAGGTAAACAGTGTTGGGGTTTTCTAGCTCATTGATTTTATTTGGGCAGAAACCATCCAAACATTTCAGGCTATAACCCAGCTCATAACCACGAAAGTATCCATGAGAATAATTGTACTATAATTTTTAATAACATGTTCAAATCTTTACAAAAGTTTGCAGATTACCAGTAAGCATTACAAGGTTTCATACACAAAATATCCTGTTTTTAAATTAAATATTCAGATTTAATCTTGAATTTTTTCCTTTCAGAATGTTGACTATCCAAAGTGCAAAGTAATTTTGATTTTAAGATTAAAAATACATTTCTTTATCTGAAATTTGTCAAGTTTCAATTGCGTAATCTCTACATTCTTCCAGACAATCATCAAACATTTTTTGGATAAAACTTTATATTTAATCTGTTATTTTATCAATATTAACTGTATATGGTGTTTGTCCATTTGACCAACTTCTTAACCATCAAAAAATGAGGAAATAAATTAAGTTACCTTTCTTCTGTTCTAGAATAACAGCAAATTGTAACAGGAAATCACAAATGTTTATTCTAAATAGTTTAAATCTTGTAACAGTACACATCTATTTATATTTATTAATCTTTGATTTATTGACCTTTGAATCATATCTGACTAAAAATACCCAGACACAAGTTCAAATCACGAGGTATAGATGCAGCTCACTTAACTCTATGGCGATAGGTCACGTGCCAAAAACCATATGATTCCGTTTGTTGACTTGCATTCAAAATTTTATTGAACAACTATTTTATGAAGGTATGTCAATAAGTTTGGTATCAAACTGTAGATTATAATTCAAATTTTAGTATTATACATTCATTAATTTCATAATTTAAAAGTAAATATTAAAAAACACAGCTAAACATCAATTTCTGTGTCACGTGGTATGTTGAACGCAGCACTGGTTCAAATTAGCTGTTTGTGATGTCAAAGTACAAAGTCTATAGTTTATTACTAATTAGGAACTCAAACTACCAATATTGACAAACTAAGTATAAAATAAGAACCTCTTATCTTTTCTATTTGCTAAGATATTGCTCATGTACTGAATCAAACACAGTGGCCTCCCGCCCATATCTTTCTATTTTTGGAAATGGTCCCGTATATAAACTTACTTCTATATACGACAAGAATAATCAATCACAAGCTCAGAATGTCCCCCTAGTGGTTTTCTCAGCCATTTTTACATGTTATCGTGTTAATCTCATTCTTTTCACACAAGATTTCAAATTATAAGGTAAGTCTTTAATGAGTTCAAAGTTTCATATTTTTTTAGACCCAAATACAGCTTAGTTACTACACTTGATAAATTATAGTGGTATTCTATGGTATCGATACAGTAGTTTGTTTTTTATCTTTTTGGTTATTTAAAATGTATATATAAAACCTAAACAAAATTTTCTTTTCACGTCCTCCATGTGGGAAATTTCATAAGGCTTAGCAACCTAAGAGTACAAAGGTCATAACTAGAAGAGATTATTGTTTGCTTTACTTCATTATTTACTGTTCTATGTTTTAAGAAAAATAAGTTTAAGAACTTATTTGTAAATATTGTTAATGCATATACATATATAATGTATAATAACTGAAATGTAACTGTATTTTATAAAATACTAGTCACTAAAACACAACCAAAACCGATCATTTTGTAAAGACTAAAGGTCAGTTTTATATTATTGGATACGGTATCACGAATGGCATGTTATTGTAACTTCTGTATTATTAGCCAGTCATGGCTGGAAGAATAATATAATAAAAATAA